ACTAGTACAGAGGAATAACAAAAAATTCAAAAGAAAATTTCTAATTTTGTTTTAAAATTATGTTTTAGATTATTATCTCTATTTATTTTAAGATTTCACAAATGAAGAAATGTTAACAATAATTTTGTAATCCTTGTCAACACTAGTGTAGTAATGTCAACCATTACACTAAAAGGCCAGTATAATCACTGATTAGTGATCCATACCCTGTACTCTATATAAGCACATGTTACCAAATTGAGGTACTATCCTTTAGTAGCTGTTCACATGTAGTAAGCTACCAAGCTTACAAATTTCTAGTTTTTGTATAAAGAAAGTTTTAAATTTTGTTTATAATTTTTGCTGGTCAAAAATGGGAAAATAAAATTCAAATAATATTTATCATTATGTAAGTTATTTTTTAAGGTAAGGAATTGTGAAATGCTCTATGTGTAAGGAGAGCTAGGAACTTGCTACATAATACAGAGCTGTACTAGCAGATTGTGAGAGTTTATTATATAATGCTAGTTATTACTAAGTACACAACAGAGGACTCAAGGTTGTGTCCAGACTTTTCTTGTACTTTTGCAAATGTATCCCCTTCAACATTTGAATATAGATCTTTTAAAAAAAATAGTAATTAATAGATACTATACTTGATTTTTTACAGGGGAATTTTCTTAAAATTGAGTATTAAGTAAGATATAGTAATTTTTACTAAAAGAAATGAGTGTATTTTAATAACTAATTTTTTAAAAGAAATCCTTCTAAACAAAATAAAGATTAATTGTAAATCTTATAACTTACTTTTACTCAGTTTAGTAAATACTATTACTTTTAGGAAACAGTAAGTTATACAATCACTATATAAATAATAGTATAGGATTTTAATACTATAAAACCACCTTATAAATAATAGAATAGTTTTTTTTTTCTGTTTGAATCATATAATATAATATAATATTTAGACTTATTATATTAAACAACATTTTAATACAACTGTATTTTTTATTAAAGTAGCAATTATATAACTTATATAGTATTTATTATAATATATTTATATAATTTGATTTATTTTTTGTTTATACTATTTTAGTATTATAATACTATCTATTACTATCTTTATACTGTAGTAGTCTGTATGTAAGTAACATAGATTTGATTGTTACATGTTAGAAAGGTTGTGTTTAAAGTGACAGCTTTAAAGCTATATATTACTATTATTAAATTAGTAACAGTTTATAATAGTTAAAAAATGTAGACTAGTATTAGTTAGGAAATAAACCTAATTATATTAGTAACAAACCCTTTGTCACACATTACATATACTAAAATAAGGAACAAGACAGTAGTACTATTACTTATATATGTTACAGTTTACTACTCTTATACTCTCAGTTCTGCCAGTTCTACACCCTTCTATACTAGAACTTAGGACTTCCATCCCTTAAGTGTACTGTATATAAACTATATACAGACTGATTCTCCCTATGACTCTTACTACTACCCCTCTCTACCTTATTACTCCTTTCCTTTGTTCACCCCTTTATTCTTTGTTCATTCTAAGGTCTCTTACCCTTTGTCCACCCCTTTATTCTTTGTTCACTTATCTTTGACCCCCCTCATTCTTTACTCTCTATAGCTTATTGTTCTCTAAGTACTCTTGTATAGTTTAGTATATATACATGTATAAGATCAGACTAGTCCTATAGTCTTGATCTTGTCTACTCTAAGTAGTCCTGTACTCTTAGACTTACTTTATATACTCTATACTTGTCTTACTCTCTCTTCCTGTCTGTTTTACAAGTTCTGACTACATTCTAGTACTTGTGTTCTATATTTCTGTTATATAGGATAGTTGTAGTCTGAGTCCCCTTACTAAGCCTTTAGGTCTCCTCTATACTATTACTAACATTAGATTAAGACTACTTATTACTACTTTACAACTGTTCTATGTTTCAGACATTAGTACTTACTATTGTACTAATCTCTTCTTTTTGTCCTAACCCTTTTACATTTTTAAATTTTAAGCTTTCTAAACTCTTTTAAACTTTTACTACTCTTCTTCTATTCATTACCCTTTTTAGTTTAGTGTTAATCTCTTTATAGTATAAATATAGACTCTTTTAAGCTAACTATTACTCCTACTATCCTACCAGATTAGTAGTTGTAAGTAGACCTAACTTAATACATACAGATCTCTATCTAAGAGGCCTTTACTAACTATGTACCCTCAGCCCTGTCAGAACCTATTCTAATCCTTCTAGAAGTTACAACCTGTTCTAGAAAGAAAGTGTATATAGTCTGTTCTTCAGACTTTAATAAGTAGTACTTTAAGAACTTTTAGTACTAAGTTGAGCTATATATAGTTACTACTTTAACTAATCTATTCTTAGACCTTAATTGTGTCCTATTTGTTCTCTCCTTTATGAAAGAAGGTAATACAGCCACCTAAGTCTAGAACTGGATCAAAGGTTATTAGATTAGAAGTCTGATCTGACTTCAGAACAATAAGTTATACTTAGACTTTATAAGGCAGCTCTATACTTCCTTTATTAATCTAAACAAGAAGTATAATATGTAGAACAAGCTTGTGTCTTTGTAACAGAGTAAACATTCTACTAATGTCTTCTTTCAGGAGTTTAATATCTTAGTCTAAAAGGCAGGATTCATACTCAGGTTTAATAATGTTCTTATTAGAATACTTTAAAAAGCTCTTTACTCAGAACTAGTTAACAAAATTCTTAGAATAACACTAGAACTGATCACTTACACTGACTAGAAGACTTGTACCATTTCCTTTAACTAATTTGTAGCTTGAATGTGTTAAGTCTGTACAGAATACTCTTATATACATTTGACTCTAACAATTCTAAGCTCTTAGATTAATCTACCTATAATTTGTAATTAATCTATTCTAATAGACATTAGAGAAGCCTGAAAGTAAGGAGCATACTTTGTTTACAGAAAGTCAGGACACCAAATTAAGGACTGCTTATAGAAGTAACAGTATATTTGTTAGGTTATTAGAGTAATAACAAGTAACAAGTAGGACTTATAGTAAGAAGCCTTCTCTGTAAATTTAAAAGTCACTTTGAAACTCCTAGACTCTGACTATATACTCTAGAATTTTGTAGAGGCCTAATAGTGAATACAGTACTGAAAGGTTATAACTCAGATTTATTAATAGTTACTTTTAATTTAATAAATACTATAGGATTAAGAATAAATAAAGTAGATAAAGTAAACTAAGAAAATTATTTATTAATAAAGAAAAAGTTAAAAACAAAAGTAGATAGTTCTCTTATTTCCTTTGATTCTTTTGATTCTTCTCTTTACACTTTATCTAAGTTTAAATCTACACAATCTAACTTACTACCTTAGT